CAGTATTTAATAACATAACTCAGGTCTCTTAAGTTATTTTTCTTTAAAACAATTATGTTATGGTTAAAGATTTAATTGGAAGTCTGTGTTTGTGTCCTTTACTAAAATTAAATCATTTAGCAATATCATAAAAAGTCCAGGCAGAGTTGCACATAAAATATGGTTTCAAATCTTTTCAATAATTATCGATATCGATCAATATGCATTTTTTTTTTTATCGATAAGCTTTTTTTCTATATCGCCCAGCCCTAGTTAATGGTTAGGGTTAGTTAAGCTCTGGTAATTGTTAGGTTAATGTTTAGAACTAGTTAAGCTCTGGCAATTGTTAGATTAATGATTAGGGTTAGTTAAGCTCTGGCAATTGTTAGGTTAATGGTTAGGGTCGGCTATGCTCTGTTAATGGTTGAGTTAATGGTTAGGGCTAGTTAGGCTCTAGATGAATGGCCCAGAAATAGATGGAAATGACCAAAACAAATCAAGAGAGGTGAGTCATGGCCCTCTCTACTCCTAGAATGAGCAGACAGGGGGGGGGTTGGTCATACCGTATGGTCTCTGGGCAGCGGATGATGCCCTCCACTATGTGGTCTCGGATCTGCTGCCGGTCGTTTTCGTGAATGTTGAAGGGGAAGACCACCTCCCCCACAGACGGCTCCCTGTCCTGCCAGTACTGACTCACCATGTTCTTCAGGTAGATGGCAGCTGGACACACACAGCTCTGATTAATAATGCAGCCATGAAGAGGGAGGTTATTCTGATCAACAGAAACCTATGTTGATGATAAAGTAAGTACACCCTCTAACAGAAAAATCATTGGTTCAGGTTCTATACTAACATGACCTCAGACTGGGACTAATGTGTTCTATCCAGCAGGGTCTCTGTTAAATCTTCCCAATAAATGAAAGGTTTACGGTCTTACCTGCTTGGCGGACAGGGAACTCGACCTGCTCTGACACGATAATCTGGAGCAGTGTGGGGGCAAAGTTGATGATCTTATAGGACTGAAACAGAGGAGGGAGAAAGTAAGTAAGAACATTTAGATTAGAAAGGAACCATTTTATTGCAGAACATAAGCAGAGAGAAACTGACATCACTTTAACCACAAAGAAAGGAAACATCTTCCTGGCCTAAAGGAAGAGAAGGAGCCAATCATGCTGAAGGGACTTTCAACTGGTTCCTCTGGAAGAAACCAGTTGATCTTCCCAGATGAAAAGAACTTCATCGGAGGCATTTTAACTGGACAGACCATGAGAGTCCATGAAAACCGAGTCATGTTTATAGAACAGTATGACCCAGTCTGGTTGATCACAGGATGGATGAGGGATGGATGACTGTCCCGCATGGTCCGGTTCGGTTCGGGTCTCTGCGGTCCTGCGTGGTGCGGTTCAGGTCTGTGTGGTCCGGTTCGGTCTGCGTGGTCCGGTTCGGTCTGCGTGGTCCGGTTCG